ATTGTTGAATCTTCTGATGCTTACTTATTTGCTGGACCTATATTCAACGACTACAGCTCTGTAGGCTACTCTCTTCTCCTCAAAAAAGACAAAGCCATAATCTTGCAACCTGATCGTGTAATAATTGGAAATGGCCCAACTTTTGGGTGCGTGTTGATGAAAGATTTCTTGATCGGTTTATCAAAAAGACTAAAAAAGAACACAACTGCTTATGAGAATTATCATAGAATTTATGTTCCAGAAGGTCACCCTCTTAAATCTGCTCCAAAAGAGGCATTGAGGGTTAACGTTCTGTTTCAACACATACAGAATATGCTTTCGGGTGATACAGCTGTCATTGCTGAAACCGGTGATTCGTGGTTCAATTGTCAGAAGCTAAAGCTTCCAAAAGGATGCGGGTAAGTTTCGATTATCTGTTATTTGCTATCTGTTATTTGGTTTTAAAGGTGAGAGGATGATTTGGTTTTTGTAGGTATGAGTTCCAGATGCAATACGGGTCGATTGGGTGGTCGGTGGGAGCGACACTTGGGTACGCACAAGCCGCAACTGACAAACGAGTGATTGCGTGTATTGGAGACGGAAGCTTCCAAGTCACGGCTCAAGATATTTCAACAATGATTCGATGTGGCCAAAACACCATCATTTTCCTAATAAACAATGGCGGATACACCATTGAAGTCGAGATCCATGACGGGCCCTACAATGTTATAAAAAATTGGAACTACACTGCTTTAGTTGACGCGATCCATAATGGCGAGGGCAAGTGTTGGACTAGTAAGGTAAGTTATTGGGCCTGGGCTGTTACAGATGGTATCAGAGCAGCAATTTAAGTGGAGTCTGTGTTGTTTTTACAGGTGTTGTGTGAAGAGGAGCTTGTTGTGGCTATTGAGAAGGCGACCGGGGAGAAAAAAGATTGTTTGTGTTTTATTGAAGTGGTTGTGCACAAAGATGATACGAGCAAAGAGTTGCTCGAGTGGGGTTCGAGAGTTTCGGCTGCTAACAGCCGACCTCCGAACCCTCAGTAAAAAAAAACAGTTATTTTTTTACTGTGTGGGGGCCGGATGAAGATATGCTAGGGTTTTATGACGTATAAAGTGTATGGAATCTATAAACTTTTGTTGCTATTTTGATTGAGAAAGAATAACGATTTTTAGTTGTGTGTTTTGGGTAATTGGTATCAAAATCAAGTTTTCAAAATTATGGTTGTGTTTTTGAGACGTGGAAAGGCCCAACCGTTTCTCCGATTGTGAAATTTGTGATTCTTTTGAACTTTTTGACAAAGAAAAACAAACTTTTTGAAATAGAAAAACAAAGCAAGTAACACTGTATTCTCGTGAACTCTTTTTTGTAAGAGATAAGAAAGATTCATATACATAAAGGTAAACATTAATTGCTTTATTAAAAGTATTGATTAATTTTTATTAGTTTTATTTTTTTATTCCTTTGTTTCGTTATAACTAAATTTCCTAAAGAATTAAATATGTTTTCGCATTGGAACAAGATTTCATAATAATAATATAATTATTGGAACTTTGATTATTAATATATCAAATATTTGAATAGAATTAGACATAAGCAAAGACATAGATAAATAACTTAATTATTATTTATTAAAATTGTTTCAAGAAACAATTGAAACAATTGTAAGGTCATTTTTCCATATTATGGAAAGCCGAAACATATGTACAAAAAAATAAAATGAAATAATTCATTTAACAAAATAGAGAATATACAAATATAAGACTTTACACAAATTGAACAAAATTGGAACTTGAATATTCCGTCTTTTGAAAACAAAGTTTGAGGCATACCATTTGACCAGATTTGTGTTGAGATCATGTTTGCTAAGAAACAGAACATTAGAATTTTACATTTGGAAGATGTAACTTAACTTTAAGATTTTAATTATCGTTTTTGGATTATTACTGTTGTCTTTGATGAAAGCATAGCTACCTTCCAAATTCATTGGAAATGCATAGCCTTAAGATTTAATATGAAAACATCAAGACCAGTTTTTTCGAACATGATTTTTAATCGAAATAAATTGGTTTATTGATGATCATATAACTAGGTGAATGCTATCACGCAACGCAAGTTAAAATAATAGTTGAAGTATTGAAAAATAATAGTTGTTTAAAATGGTTATGTTATTGGTATTAACTTTGATATAATAATTTTTATAATATATATATATATATATATATATATATATATATATATATATATATATATATATATATATATATATAGGTTCAGGTGTTCAAAGTAATTACTGTGTGATTGTATGCGTAAATGTGGACCAATCAAAATTAAATAAAAAATTAAATAATTAAATAAATAAAATAAGGGTAATTTAGTAATATGATTAATAACTTCAAAAAATAATCCCTATAATCATGGTATTGATTTTTAACCTAATTTCTCCAGGTTTATATCTAGAGTCGTTCCCCTCTTTATCTAATTGACTTTTTCTAACCCTAAATTTATCCCCTTCATAAATCGGTCTCACACCCTTACCATCGGCCGACCATAGCAACTCCAGATCTTCAATTCGACATCAAACCAACTTCACTTTCTTCATTTCCATTCACGATTTGCTTCACCTTTTCTGTATTTGAATGGTCACAACAACAACCATTCACATAGCGATTGATCGACTTGCTGGAATATTGGATCTCTCTCATAATCTCTGAATTTAGCAATCGCAGTACGTATTCGATCAGATTTCCTTAATTTGATTTTGTTACGATTGTACAGAATTAAACATCTTTAAAAGGTTTGAATCAACAAAAAGAGCAGGAAGAAAATGTCAGGTGTGAGAAGAATTAAGCTCGGATCACAGGGGATAGAGGTCATGCCACCTGCGGCCATCCCTTTCCTTGCAGTTACTGGAAATCGGAAATTCAATGAAAGGAACTCGACCTAGGACTGATTGAGATTGGATCCTTCATTAAAGGTACCTTAATTTCGATGTTCCTTTGATTTCTTCCTTCTTTCTAATCAAAAACCGCAACCACCACCACCGTAACGGTGGTGACAGCTACCTCCGGCCACCGCTTCCATGATGACAGTGGGTGATGATGTTTCCAGCTTCAATTTCGAATTTCCAGGGGTCCACATCTAGTGGAAAAACTAGCCTTGTTCAGTATCTTGTTGCGATCACTGGGCATGAGTTTGTTCGAATTAACAACCATGAACACACTGATTTACATGAGTATTTGGGTTCTTATATAACTGATGCAAGTGGGAAACTTGTTTTCCAAGAAGGGGTGTTGGTTAAAGCAGTTAGAAATGGTCATTCGATAGTTCTTGATGAACTTAATCTCGCCCCTTCTGATGTTCTAGAAGCATTAAATCGATTTGTGTATTTTATACAATTTCAATTCTATCGGAATGGAATCACGAATTCAAATTCTATCGGAATGGAAACACGAATTCTAATTCTATTGGAATGGAATATGGATATTTTCTCATTGATTATACATGTTCTACAATTTTTGGTTATTGGTTTTGGTGCAATTAGCAAGTCCGCATATTTTTCCAAAGGAATATAGTTTTTTATTTATCATTTGGTAATGTGTTATTGGATTCTAAACTACAATTGGATTTATTTTCACAGAAGTTGATGCTTGAAGAACGGACAACAAAATTGAAAGTGTTTCTTAGCAACATTATTATTTTAGAATGAATTAGTGTATTTGTTAGATTTTGATATTTTTTTTCCCGATTTGAAAGTTTTTTAGTTTTATTCTTTAACAATAAATGTAATTCTTAGCAATTGTGACATGTATTCTATAAGAATTAATGTAATTTTTGTTTTAATTCTTCAATTAATGGTTCGAGAATTTTGTTATTCTACAAGAAATTTTTTAAGTCATGATCAAGAAATATGTTCAAGAATATTTTTATTATTTTATGGTTTAAGAATATTTTAATTTTTTAACATACTTAAACATATTCTGTCAGAATGTCCGAATTAAAAACCTTATAATTCGTAAAATCGGATTTTTAAAATTAATAGAATCTATGATCCCTTAAAATATGCAATTTTCTTTTATTAAATCTATATTAATTGACTAAAATACCCTTCTAGTTAAATTAGATGGTATTTTTCAATTATATTTAATTTAATAATATGTATTAATCACTTTCTTAAAATAAGTAAAATGATTGGCCCACATTTATGCATACAATCACACAATAATTAGTTAGAATATAATAACCTAAGCCTATATATATATATATATATATATATATATATATATATATATATATATATATATATATATAGAGAGAGAGAGAGAGAGAGAGAGAGAGAGAGCTAGGTTCAAATGTAGATTGACATCTATTTTGCGGACGTGTGGACAATGCTATTCTGTGAGAATGACAAAGAAAATATGTTGTTTGATAATATAAATACGTTCAATCTTACATAACTATTGTCATTATTACACATTCTCACTAATTAAATCGTCTATAACATAATTATAGACTATTTATTATTATTCTCATTCTGTCAGAATGTTGTCAGAATGTTTATGGAGTCGTATTCTTTAAGAATTAAATGAGTGAAAAACAATTTGTAGGAACAAAAATGAATAAGAATTAGTGAAAATGCATGAAAATGACGATAATTGTGTGAAGTTGAACGCATTCGCATTACTAAAAAACTTATTCTCTTAGTAATTCTCATAGAATAGCATTGTCCACACGTCCGCACAATAGTTGTCCATCCACATTATAACCTAGCCCTATATATATATATATATATATATATATATATATATAATCTCAACTATTTTGAACAATATTACTCAATGACCTTTACACACTACTTATGGATAAATAAAATTAACTATTTCGAACAATGTTACTCATCGAATTACGAATTGTTTGTATGTTCAGGTCTCACAATCCTGATTAGTCGCTCGGTAGCATACTGCTATTGGAGACGGAGCCTGTGGTGCATCAAGTGGTGCATTTGTGGGACTCCGCGACAAATGGCCAACGAAGAGAACCCAGTTGTCGGTGCGAGTCTAATCACAAGAATGCAAAACTTAGAAGGACACGAAAAAACGCCGCAAATTACGACAGTAGTAAGAAGCAAGGGTGCTACACCCTGCAATCGTGAAGAAGAAGATATGGCTAGCCAAAAAGGACTAACGATAGAAGAATCCAATATAGAAGAGTTCAAATTCTTTAAAAGCATGAGAGCTATGAGGAAACAACATGCTAAAATGGAAGAACAGAATACCTCAAAAGAAAAAGATCAGGATCGAGTATCCATTTGTACTAGCCATACTATCGATTCATAGACAACAAAAGTGAAGGCTAAGAGGTCAAAAAAGAAGCCAGAAAAAAAAGAGGAAGCATCTGAAAAAGAAAAGAAACATATCATTAACAATCGGGAAGCATCATCTGAAGTAATGGAGGCCAAACAATACAATCAAGCCTTAAAAAAATCTTAATTTTCGGTATCCCTTCACATATGACATCAACTAGACTCCGATTTCAAAAGGACTAAAAGGGCCAAAGGTACAACCATATGATGGGACAGAAGCTCCGGATGATCACGTATCTAACTTTCAATGGGTGATAAAAATGATACCCATGGACCCAAAGTTATGGAATTTATATTTCACGGGAACCCTTGATGAATTTGCTCTGTATTGGCTTGCAATCCTGCCACCCACAAGTACAGGAAGCTTCGAAGAATTATGCTAAAAATTGTATAATAATTTCATCCAGCAGAGGAGTTTCCAACAACAAGCCCACACAATATGTGAATGTAGGCAACGAGAAGGCAAATCTAACAAAGTGTATTTAAAAAGATTCAACAAGATCAGCGGAAAGATGTCGACGAGAGACAAACACATGATCATAACAAGTTTCACCTATGGACTCCTGGAAGGAGAGCTATTTAGGAATTTGGTGGGGAGAGAATGGGTCAATACTGAAGAAATGATACAGAAAGTCAATAGAGTTCTAAGGAAAGAAGCAAAAAGTTTTGAGAACGATTGAATGGAAGACAAAGCAATCCCCGGGGGAGGAAGAAGAGAAGAACGAGTAAAGCAGTACAACACACAACCCGTTAGAAATAACCCTCAATTCAATCAAAATAGGAAGTTTTTTTTACAAAGGAAGAGGGACGCAACAAGATAGGTTCCAACCATATTGAAAAGAAACATATGAAACATATTCCGCAAGAAGCCCGTGTAAAGGAGCCAATGGTGATAGGAACATAAAATATCACCAGGACCCGAACCAATATTGTGACTTTCACAAAAAGTTGGGACATGCAATGACAGATTGTGAAAGTATAAAAAGAGAAAATGACAAAAAGTTGGGACATGCAAAGGGTAACTTAACTTTATTATAGATCGGTGGAGCGTGTGTGGTTAACCGGCACAACGATTAGGTAATATTGTTGAGGGCACCAAGTCAATTTGTATGGTTATTCACACCTTGTTTGTGATCCTCGGCATCCCAGTCACAAACTTGAGAGGGCACAATCGAGATTCAAACATGCCATTGAAAAGTTCAATGTATCTCAAAAGATCTAAGAGTTTCAAAAACCAATAAAACCTAATAATAAAATATTTCGTTCTTATGGTGGAAATTGGTAAATCGTCATTTACCTACCTTCAAATATTTTATAGTATGGATTACGGCATCCCTCTTCCAACTATAAATAGTTTGTTGGATCCTAGCCTTAATATTTCATTTGGGTGAATTATTAAGGATTCCTAATCTAATGAAACTTGTCTTTCTTTCCTTTCAGATGTCTTCCAACAATGCTTCTGGCTCAAACCCAACAGGCTCCTTTTCCCTTATGAACTTGTGCGGTAAGGTCATCTTTGATGGATCAAATTTCAATGAGTGGATCAAAAACATCAGAATGATTACCCGCTATGAGGACAAAGAATATGTCCTCGATAAGGAGCTTAAGGTTGTAAGTGAAGCCACTGCTACTCCTGAAGAGTTTGCGGAGTTTGTTGCACATGAAAAGGATGCTACTAAAGTAGCATGCATCATGATGGCCACCATGACTCCTGAACTTCAAAAATCCTATGAAGATTTCTACCCCTATGAGATGCACCTGGATCTGATGGAAAGGTACCATCAGAGCGCGCGTCAGGAGAGGTATGAAATCATCTCCTCCATGATAACCGCAAGGATGAAGGATGGTGAACCCATCACCGGTCACTTGCAGAAGATGCAAAGGTTCGTTGACCGGTTGCTGAAGCAAAATGTTGACTTTCCTGAGGAAATGGCAATTGACATCATTCTCCATTCCTTACCTCCAAGTTATGATCAGTTTCGTATGACTTATCATATGAACAAGGAGGAAGTCACACTTAGCAAACTTCAAGGACTCTTAAGGACAGCTGAAAATGGCCTTAAGGGTAAAGCGGTTGCTACTTCTACTCCTTCAACAGCCCCTGTTCTGGCTATTGGGCAGGGAAAGGGTAAGAAGAGGAAAAGCCCTTCGAAGGGTACCAAGGGTAAGACTCTTGATGGTTCCTCTTCAAGTGGGACAAAGAAAGGTTCCATTACTCCTTCTTCAAACCCAAAGGAAGCACAGTGCTTCTATTGCCAGGATAAGGGACACTTCAAGCGAAGCTGCCCTAAATATCTGCAAGATGTAAAGGATGGGAAGGTTAAACCCACCCATGCAGGTATTTACACAATATTGTCTAATAACTCATCTAATGCTAATTCTTGGGTGCTTGATACAGGTTGTGGTATTCACATTTGTACTGATTTGCAGGCACTAAGAAGAAGTGAGCAAGTGGAGCACGGGAAGATAAACTTAGTCATGGGCAACAAGAAAGCATCACCTGTTACCAAGATAGGAGTTTATTCTTTATTGCTTAATAATGGGTTAATGTTAGATTTGAATAAGTGTTGTTACTCGCCCGAAATGGCAAGAAATATTATTTCTTTTCATGGCTTGTACAAACAAGGTTTTTCATTTTCATTTGATAATAAAAATGGTGCTATTAATGTTTATTACAATGATGTATTTTACTTTAAAGCATTACCTTGTGATGGTGTATATGAAGCCGTGAATGTTGTAGACAATCTAGGAAATAATGTGTTGTATATTGATTCTTCAGATAGCTTGGATAAAGCATCCTTGTGGCATTGTCGTCTTGGACATGTTAACAAGAAGCGCATAGGCCAACTCCAAAAGGCTGGAGTCTTGGAATCATTTGACCTCAAGTCAGATGATAGTTGCGAGTCTTGTTTACTTGGAAAAATGACAAAGTCACCCTTCACAGGTACTTGTGATAGGGGTGAAGGTTTGTTGGACCTTGTACACACGGATGTGTGTGGGCCCTTCAGAGTTGCTACAAGGGATGCTAATCGCTATTATGTGACTTTTACTGATGATTATAGTAGATATGGATATATTTACTTAATCAAGCATAAGTCAGAAACCTTTGAAAAGTTCAAAGAGTTTAAGCAGGAAGTGGAGAATCAATTGGGCAGGAACATCAAGATGCTCCGATCCGATCGGGGAGGAGAGTATCTTAGCATTGAGTTCCTTGACTATCTTAAGGAATGTGGGATTGTCTCACAATTGACACCTCCCAGAACACCACAGTTGAATGGTGTAGCTGAGAGGCGCAATCGAACCTTGTTGGATATGGTTCGTTCCATGATGAGTCGAGCTTCGTTACCAATCTCTTTCTGGGGGTATGCCTTAGAGACTTCCGCCCATATCCTTAATCTAGTCCCTACTAAAAAGGTTGCCAAAACACCTCACGAGATGTGGACTGGGAAAGTTCCCAATTTGGACCACATCAAGATTTGGGGTTGTGAAGCTTTCGTGAGGCGTGAGACTCATGATAAGCTTGAACCTCGAAGTGAGAGGTGTATTTTCATCGGCTACCCACAGAGATCCTTTGGTTACCTCTTATACAGACCCAGTGATAATGTGGTTTTTGTAGCAAGAAGAGGAGTCTTTCGTGAGAGAGAATTCATAAGCCAAGGGGACAGTGGGAGGCAAATTGACCTTGAAGAGCTTCAAGAGTCAAGTGGTGAAGGAACCTCAAATGCTATCGACCAACCTGAGGAGGAAACTCCTGTTGATCCGATAGATGAGTCTGTACCTCCAAGACGTTCCACTAGGGTGAGGAACACACCTGATTTTTATTATGGTTATCACATCACCACTGAAGGTGATACATTTATTAGTGATAGTACACTAATAGATTTGGATGAACCTAATAATTACAGGGAAGCCATGGCAGGCCCTGAGTCTGCTAAATGGAAGGAGGCTATGGACAACGAGATTCAGTGCATGTATGAAAATCAAGTTTGGAACTTGGTTGACAATGTACCAGGTCGTAAGACAGTTGGGTGCAAATGGATCTTTTAAGAAGAAGACCGACATGGATGGGAAGGTACATACTTACAAAGCGCGACTGGTTGCGAAGGGCTTTACTCAAACTCTGGGAGTTGACTATGATGAGACCTTCTCACCAGTAGCTAAGATTAAGTCTATTAGAGTATTGTTAGCCATAGCTGCATTTCATGATTATGAAATATGGCAAATGGATGTCAAAACCGCTTTCCTTAATGGAAAGTTGGCTGAGGATGTTTACATGGCTCAACCAGAGGGTTTTGTCGATACAAGATACCCTAATAGTGTGTGTGAGCTTGATAAATCCATTTATGGATTGAAACAAGCATCTCGCAGATGGAATCTTTGCTTTGATGAGAAAGTCAAAGAGTTTGGCTTTTCTAGGAGTGAGGATGAGTCTTGTGTGTATGTCAGGGCTAGTGGGAGCATAGTTAGCTTCTTGGTGTTGTATGTGGATGACATACTTCTCATAGGAAACGACGTCCCAACCTTGCAGGAGGTTAAGTCCTGGCTTGGGAAGTGTTTCGCTATGAAGGACCTTGGGGAAGCTGCCTATATCCTAGGGATAAGGATATTGAGAGGGTAGGAGTAAGAGACTAATTGGACTTAGTCAAAGTACTTACTTGGATAAGGTGCTGAAGAGGTTCAGTATGCAAGATTCCAAGAAAGGAGAATTACCAATCCAGAGTAATGCCAAGCTGAGTAAAACTCAGAGTCCGAGTACAGAGGCTGAGATAGCTGAAATGAGTCATATACCATATGCTTCCGCTGTGGGCTCGATCATGTATGCTATGACTTGTACTCGCCCTGATGTGGCCTTTGCTTTGAGCATGGTCAGTAGATATCAAGGAACCCTGGCAAGGCACACTGGACAGCGGTAAAGAACATTCTCAAGTATCTGCGGAGGACTAAGGATTGGGTCCTTACCCTCGGAGGCAGTGA